AAAGGAGAGTGGCTGGGCCTGCACATGGTGCTCAGCCTCAGCCAGGGCTTTCAAGGGGCATCTTTGGCCCCGAAACAGGGGCAAAAGAAGAGGCTGTTGCTGGCAAGCAGGAAAACGGGTCCTCAGCAGCCCCGGCAGATCAGCTGCAGCTCAAAGCTGCATGTGCAAATGATGCCACGGCCCAGACCAGCGCTGGTGGCCAAAGATTTGTGCCACCAAGAATGACTGGAAACAGAAAGCGTGTCCTTCACACTTCTGGGATTAGGAAGGAGGTTTTCTAGTGAGTTAATGAAAGCTGCTTTGAAGATACATCAACTCTCATTTCTAAAATTCAGCACTCCTTTGGTTGAATTGTAAGTGGGGGGGGCTGAGGACCCCTATTTCTCTGGGAAGATATAGAATTGTAAAGTTGGAAGAGACTTGAAAGGGCACCTCAGAGGACATCTAGTCCAACCCCCTGCTGATGTAACACCCCTGATAGGTCACCACCTGGCGTTGAAAGCTTGTCTGACAAAATAGAGAATGAGGAAAGCTGAAACTCAGTGCCACAAACGGGGAAGATAAATTCCTCTCTGCTTGTTTTACTTCTTCAAGAATGATGCTTCATAGCCCATTACTTTGGGGCCCGTTTTCACAACCCAAGATGTCTGACCTCCTGCTGTTGCCACCGTCAATGTTGCTGCTTCAGCAACTGTACGGGATTTAGCTTGTGCGTGGGAAGGGAAAGAAATGGAAAAGAGGATTCCCAGATTTGGCCTGCTGTTATATCTGAAGGGAAGATCGTGTATTCGGTGTGATGCTATTATAGGGACGAGGGGGGCATGTGGAGAATGTGCTTAATCCTGTTAAAGGAGAGCAAAGAAATGATACAGATAAAGGCCAGCTGGAACAGCTCGCTGCAACCAAAGAGAACACCTTGTGGAAAACACTTCAGTCTGTTAAGATTAATGTGTATCTATTTCAATTGGGCCCTATTATCTTCCCGTTTGTGTGGGTTGAAAAGCAGGGAAACATTGCCTGAGAGGGAAACATAATCTGCAGAAAACTGAATATATAGTTCATAGCTGTGGAGGGTGGGGGGAAGCAGGGGAAAGTACCAGTGGGGATTTCCCCTGGCACCGAAAATTTCCAGAGTGTGATGTAGAGGCACTTGCTGCTTTCTGATTCTCAGCTGAGTCGGGACTGAAACACTACAAGTGTTACTTCATTAGACAGAATCCTTGCCCATACCAGGAGGTAGGAATCAGTGAGGCAGGCAGAATGCTACTGGAGAGTTGGGAGGCATGAGAACTCATTGCTGACCAGTGGGAATCCGCAGGCCATAACTGGGGACTCTGGGATTTGGTTACTGGGAAAGCATCAAGGCCAGCCTCAGGATAAAAAGGCATATTATAGAAACAGGAAAAAAGGTATGAAGTTTACGGCATGTAATGCCTTAAGAGAGAATATTATGAAAATGATATACAGGTGGTACATAACCCCAGTCAAGCTTGCAAAAATCTACCATTTGCCCGATAATAAATGTTGGAAATGTAAAGAAACTGAAGGTACATTTTTTCACCTTTGGTGGACGTGCCCAAGGATTAAGGCTTTCTGGGAAATGATATATAATGAATTAAAAAGGTATTTAAATATACCTTCTTGAAGAAACCAGAGGCCTTTCTCCTGGGCATAGTCGGCCAAACGGTGTTAAAAAAGGATAGAACTTTCTTTATGTACGCAACAACAGCAGCAAGAATACTCATCGCAAAGTGTTGGAAGACACAAGAGCTCCCCACACTGGAGGAATGGCAGATGAAACTGATGGTCTATATGGAACTGGCGGAAATGACTGGTAGAATCCGTGACCAGGGAGAAGAGTCGGTGGAAGAAGATTGGAAGAAATTTAAAGATTACCTACAGAAACATCGCAAAATTAAAGAATGTTAGAGTGATGATGGATTAAAATTAAGTGGTTTCTAGCTGCGCAGACTTTAAAGTTATATACAGATTAAGATTAAGGATTAGGAATAAAAAGGTTAAAAGGATGGAAAATTGGCTATTAATAGATACAAATTTAATGTTATAATATATTAAGATTAAGGATTGGGATTAAAAAAGAGGGAAAGGAAATGCTGGACAAAAAACTGAATTGGAATACAAAAGAGGGAGGTATGAGGAGGTCCAGAAAATAAGTAAATTCAAAAGTAGTGATGAAAAGATGGAATTGTTTTTAACTGTTTTTTCTTTTCTTATTTTTGTATTTTGTATTGTGTATTTTTTTTTACTCTTAAATTCTTTTGTATTGATGTGTTTCTTTTTATCTGAAACTTTAATAAATATCATTTAAAAAAAAAAAAGCTGATGCTATTCTAGGCTGCATCCACAGAAATCTAGTGTCCAGATCAAGGGAAGTACTAGTGCCACTCTATTCCACCTGGAATCCTGTGCCCAACTCTGGGCACCACAGTTGAAACAGGAAGATGGACAGAGGAGGGCAACCAAGATGATCAAGGGTCTAGAATCCAAGCCGTATGAGGAATGGTTGAGGGAGATGGGTATGTTTATCTGCAGAAGAAAAGACTGAGAGGTGATATTACAGTTTCTTCAAATATCTGAAGGGCTGTCACACGGAAGATGGAGCAAGCTTGCTTATTGTTGCTCCAGAGGGGAGGAACTGAAACAATAGATTCAAATGACAAGTTTGGGTTGCCATATTTTCACACCAATATATAATACAGCAGCACTTTAGCGCTCATTTTTCCTAGTATATTCAATTGGGTACACAATTTTCCTAATATACACATACCTGCAAGCAACTCTTCCTAATATAATGCATTTTATGTTCTTCTCGCTACTAAGTGCATTTCTATGCACAGCCCCCCCTTTTGTACCACATTTTTTGGCTGGTGAACTTCATCCCAAAACTTGGACAGCTGTGCTTTGGTTCATGTATCGTTATAGAAGGTGCTAATTAGGTTGGCCTTAAAACGTGAGCTGAACTGAATTCCTGTCCCATCGCTTGCCCTTAGGCTGTGTTCAGATGTGCCTTCAAAGAGGAGGACACTCTGTGCACTCCCACCCAGAAAGAGGCCAGCTTCCTGCTCCACTTGCATAACACTCTGTACTGAGGTGCCTAGCAATGATTTGAATGCCTCTGCTCTCCCCACCATTTCAGGCAGACTCTCTGCCTTTTTTAAAATAAAAGTGCTCTTTGCCCTTTTTCTTTTAGCAGTAGAGACACTCCTCTTTGCACTGTCGGAATGAGTCCTCCTTTGCAGACCTCCCTGCGGCAAAAAGGTTCCATTTGGATCTTCACATGGCTCCCCAATTGCCTGTATTTTGCAGGGTGGGGGTCCTTCCCCACTTTTTTTTGGGTTTTGTTCTGCAGGTGTTCTGATTTCTCTGTTTCTCCTTTGAAAAGTTTCCTCCAGGACCGTGAAAGTCATTCTCTCCTCATTTCATACCTGACCCCAGCAGGGAAACTGTTCTTCTGTGCATGACATGAATACCCTTCAATGACAGCTGGAGTGCTTGGATCATGACTTTCTGCCTGCGCCTTCTGCTTTGCAAAACCCAGGTCTCCTCCATCCTCTGCCAAGTTCCCAGCAGCTCTGAACAGCCCTGAGAGACTTTGGCAGCTACTTAAAACTCTGAAGTTCGGATCCAACTTGGGGGAAAATGAATGTGAAGCACTGGGTGACCTTAAGAGTATAGCCAGTAAAGTGCCGGCGAACCTCAGTGAGCAAACAATTCAGCTGAGCTCAGAGCTGGTGCAGAAAGCTCTTGGGAAGCAATTTGAGCTGACAGAGTGAGGATGCCTGATGGATCTCTTCTAGCAGCTGAATATGTGTGCTGTTGAGAAGGGGTTTTTTTAAGCAGGATGGGGAAATGGCCAGTCCATTTTAGTCTGGAACATGCCTATCTGAATAACAGGAGGTGCAGAAAGTGGGTGGCCAATCAGGCACACACAGGCATCCTATAATACTCCCAGTGCTCAAGTATGTTCAGATTATGCTCTGGATATTAACAGCGGAAGATGGATCACACCCAGATAGCGGCAAATTCTGCAATGAAATTGATTCTAATGAATTACACTTCCCCGTCTATTTCCTCCAGCGGCAGTTGCAGATGTATTCAGAATGCAAGTTTCCCTCCTGCAGTGGGTGGGAGGGAGAGGCAGCCATTTGCAGACTGATTGACCCAGTTGTATTTTTGGGTAACAGCCTTGAAAACGGGGCTCCCAGAGCAGACCCCAACTCCCCTGAGGAAGAGATGGGAGACCCTCATAGCCCAGAGGAACCAAGGTCCAGGAGGAACAGAAGGGGAAGGAAGGGAGAGAGAGGGGATGTCCTACCTGGCCCAATCTGTTAACCACAGACCCCTGGGGATGTGCTCCAGAGGCCACCCACTCAGAAATGCCCAAAGGCCTGCCAAGTGTGGCTGGAGTGCAAGCAAGGAGCTCAATTTGTCCTGGCGTGATTGCCCAAGAAAGAGCTCAGTTTGGCAAGGTTGACTGTTGTTAGATCTGTCCATGGTCCTGGGACTCATGCTCCAACAAAGCCCTGAGCTGCTCCACAGGCAGACTGACCAGGCCTCAATATATTGTTGAATTCCCTGTGACTAGGCCAGGAGAAGTTCATAAAGGATGCATTTGAGGGCCAGCAGAGTGTGGTGGTTAGGAGAGTGTCAGATTAGGACTGGGAAGAACCACATTCAAATCCTCGCTCAGCCATGAAGCTCACTGGGCGATCTTGGGCCAGTAATTTCTTCTCTGCTTAACTTTCCTCACATGCAGGTATGCGAAGCCATATATGGCATCCTTAGCTCCTTGGAGGGAAGGTAAGATAAAAATGTCATGAATAAATAACATTTATCTGAAAAGCTTTTTAAATATGTAGTTAAAGTGGCAGATAAAATGGGAAGCCCTTTGAAAGTCAAGTAAATCCTAAAAAGCGATAAAAAGACCAGTGTCACATTGTGGTATTTCTAAGCACCGAAAAAAGTCAACAACTGCCCACACACCATCCAGGCTGCACTGTTTGCAAGGGCTCCCATTGTCTCTGGCTGAATGAAGCTGCCTGCAAGGCACCTGAGAGCCAGAAAACTCCCTGCGTGGACCATCCCTTTGGTGTGTTGGCATCTTGAAGGGAACTTGGCTGTGGCTACACACAGCAGGCGCCTGTGGTTGTGTGCTGAAAAGCATCTCCATCCTTGCACAGCCTCTTGGCAGGAACTTCAATGCAGGCGGCACATGGGTGCAGCACAAAGAGGATGTTGGCCACAGGACTAAAGACTCAAAGCTGGGCTGTGCGATGAGAGGCAGGTGGGCAGAGTGGTGTGTAAGGCAGGGGCGGGGGAAAGCTGGTTCTTTCTGGGAACTTAGATAAGGCCCAAGCCACCAGGCATGGAGGGAAAGGCACAAGCATGTTCTGCCGTTTTGAAGATTTTGTGGGAAAAGGCAGGGGCATGAAGAGGCTCACTAGCCTGGAAAGCACCAGTGTAGCTTATTATGAGACAGGGGGCCACTGGGCAGTGAGCCGCAGAAACTGCTCATGATGCAAGGGCTCAGCCATGGGAAATGAGAAGCAACAGAAGCAAGTGTCTTCATTGCTGGAAACAATGACCCCTATAAGCAGAGGTGAACATCCATTTGCACTGAGCTGAAAAGGCAGTGTGTGTTCAGCAAATGGCAGATGCTGGACAGCTCCATTCAACCCACCTTGATAAGATGCCCCTTTGCTTCTGCATGGCTTGGGCTCACTCATGGCCTTGGCTTTCTGCTCCTTGTTCACTGAGCCAAGGAGAGAATCTATTATGATTATTAGCCGCGCGGATGTTACTAGCCCAGAGATGGAAAGAAGACAAAGTCCCTACCAGAGAAGAATGGCAACTAAGCTGTTGGATTATGCCAAAATGGCAAAACTGACCAGAGAGCGCAGGAAAAAAGAAGACCAAAAACCAAATAAAGAATGGGAAAAATTTATAATTTACTTAAGAGACCACTATAAGCAGATGAAAACATTAGCAGGATTGCAATAACACTTGTAATGTAGAAGATATTATGGACAAAATGGAGAGACATAAAATTTGGATGATGAAATAATATGCAGTTGAAAAGGTTTATAATAGGCCCCATGGAGGTGGGAAGGTGGGAAGTCTAGAGATTCAGAGAAATCTCTAAATATGGATATGTAATTACATATGGATATGTAATTGTTATAACTCTACACTTGTAAAATCAAATAAAAAATATTTAAAAGAAAGAAAGAAAAAGAGAATCTATTATTATTATTATTCTTTTAAAAATTGTATACCGTCCTTCATCTGAAGATCACAGGGCGGTTCACAACACAAAATACAAAAAGAGAGCACAAAATACACAATAAAACAGAATAAGAAGAAAAACAAACCAATAACCCCGCTCCCACTAACACATTTAAAAGGCCATGAAATGTTAATCAGCCAAAGGCGTGCTTATAAAGAAAAGTTTTCACCTGGTGCCTAAAGATATGTAATGAAGTTACCAGGTGAGCTTTCCTGAGGAGAGCATTCCACAAATGGGGAACCACCTCAGAAAAAGCCCATTCTTGTGTTTCCGCTCTCTTTACCTCCCACGAGGAAGGGCCTCAGATGAAGATCACAGAGAAATGGCCCTTGAGGTATTGTGGTCCTAAGACATTTAAGGCTTTATAGGTCAAAACCAGCACTTTGACTTGGGCTTGGAAACTAAGTGGCAGCCAGTGCAGTTGGACCAGGACTGGTGTAATATGCTCAAACTGTCTTGTCCCAGTGAGCAAGCAACCTGGCTGCCGAATTCTACACCAGCTGAAGTTTCTGAACTGTCTTCAGAGGCAGCCCTATATTGAGTGCATCACAATAATTTAACCTAGAGATTACCAGAGCATAGATGGCAGAAGTTAGGCTATCCCAGATAGGGGTGCAGCTGGGCCACCAGCTGAAGCTGATGGAAGGCTCTCCGAGCCAGTGAGACCACCTGAGCCTCAAGCCACAATCTTGTTATGGCAGATATTGCTGCAGAACTGGGACTAGCTCTGACTTCCTGTCATTGGTCCCACACAATACCTGCTCAATGTGTACATTTGCAAACAAACAGATGATCTGAGAAGGACCCTGAGTCTTAAGCCCTGAAGAAAATGGAAAATGGCTGCCACCCAGGTAGGAGAAGAGGAAGAAGATGCAACAACCGTACTGTGGGCAGCCAGAGAGCCTCGTGGGTTTTTGATTGGCAGAAAGATTGCTTTCTCAGGTACAAAGTGGAGAAAGTAGCTTTTTCGATTCTCTCCCCTATTGCACTCATTCTGGCTGGTGGTTTATCACTGTGATTAGACAGTAATAGCTTGTGCCTTTGTGCTTGTGATTGCAGCTGAGAGTTACAGCCTGACCTGGACTATCTCACAGAGAGTGTTGGGAGAAGGAAATTGGGGAGGGGAGGACATTAGAACAGATGCCCATCTCCCTTTCCCCTCCTAAAAGGGAACTCAGCTTCCTTTCCTTCCTTCCTTCCTTTTAAGGCAGCAAAATTGTGGGGGCCTGACGGCAGCTCAGTGGGTAGTGGGGTGTGTGGAATGTCTGATGTTATTGCCTGTTCACACATCTGAAGACTAGAGGGTTCATCCCTATGACAATTTAAGGTGAAATTTGACCTGAAGGTATGTCTGGAAAAAGTAGGTCTCCCGAACCTGATTTTTTTATTTGAAATGGTGAATTCATATTATTTTATTTGCAACATTTATAATCATGGATATTTGGTACCACATAACCACTTGGGTTATTTCCCTTTTAAAATCAAGAAGTGAACTTAGCATTATTGATTTAACTTTGATTATTAATTTGGAAATATTGGTTGAAATCAAAATTTGGACATTCAAATACAAGTTTCGACCATTTTGTTCGGTTTTGGTGAAAATTTGTTTCTGCTTTAAAAGTAACTCCACATGCCACATAGATATAGCATGTGCATCTTGTACATGACCACTTCCCTCACCTTTCTCTTTAGCAGTTTTGGGAGTCAAGAGACACTTGTGCGCCTTTTACGGAGATGCCTCCAGAATTATTGATGTAACATCTGGAAAGAGGAAGCAAGAGGGACTCGGTCCAGAACAGAACATTTTAATCCTCTCAGTTGTTATTTCTAAACTGGTTTGTGCAAGGTAGAAAAGGTCCGAAGGACCAAACCCCACTTGACAGGGACATCTCTCCTATTCCCTGCCCCAGACGAATACAAACCTACCCCAGGTAAACACAACACTATTTTGATTTCTGGGCAATCTGCTATCATGTTGGGCTCCTTGGTGATCAATTGGCATGATGGAAAAAATATAACATTGCTTCTCTCCCCCCCACCTCATCTGATTCCACAAGCTAAAGCAGCCACCTCATTTCCATCAGGGTTTTTGCACCTGTTGCACAGCTGTGGGCAGGCACCCCATTGAAATTCTGCAGGCATCCATCTGAGCAAAGCTGGTTAATTCAGCTGTAAGCTGGATTTCGGAAGGTCGCGGCCTCAGAAGCTTAGTGCCAGAGTCCCTCAGCACCCCTCCAAAGACAAGGCATTACGAGTGGGAAGCCATTAGAAAATATTCTGCAGTCGTTTTGCTGCTGCGCACACGGTCCAGAGATGAAGGAGCAGCCAGGCCTTTTCACAGAGCCTTCCAAATTTGTCGGGAGCAGACAAGGCTGCTCATTAAGGGAGTCACGGAGGCAGAGCTGGGCGAGGATTCACGAGCCTGTGGCAGGAGGGTGTGCCCAGTCCTAGATGTCCTCTGCCACTTAGACTAGTGCAGCCTGTCTAATTACTCCATGCCTCTTCAAATATGGGTGGAGAAGTCAAGACGATCTGGCTGGCAGCAGATTAATTTGGAGGAGGAAGTCAGAGTCTGGGAAGACACTTCCTGGATGTATTTTTGCATGTGTGAGAGTGTGTGGAGGGGGGGAGAGCTGTTGGCAAAACTTGTGGTGGATTTCAAAAAGAGGCATAAACCTTTTACCAGGTCACCCAGAAAGGGACAGGCAGGCTGTGGATTGCTTAGTGGAGATGGAAGCACACTCAGCATATGCCCTGGGGTAAATATTCCTTGTTACTTTAACTACTCTGAAACTTCGTCCTGGTGCTGCAATTAGGTTTGGGAGTCTGAGTTAGTTTTGGCTCCTATTTAACTGAGCAACCAGTTAACTGGACCATCATTCTCCTATAAAAACCCACATCATCAACATCCTCTCTGCCATACATTATGGGCTATAGAGACTAGCATTCCCCAACTTGCTGCTCTATAGATGTTATGATTCCAATCAGCCCCTGCATCAAATGGCTGGGCTGAGGCTGATGAGAATCAAAAAAACCTGGAGGGCACCAGGTTGGGGAAGGCTGTTGGGGAAGGACACCCACTTTCCTCCGCCCTCCCAGCACACAAAATGACACCTTTTGACCTCTCCTCTGAAACAAAGAAGGAAAAACAACAATCCCCCCTCAGTTCTTTCTCCCAGGGGCTCACCAAAGTTCTAATTGTCCATTGTGAGAGTCTTTCCCTGTAATACATGCATCACCCCTAATTATACCTCTGCTCTAATTAAGCATAATGATAGAGATGTTCTCTTGTCCCACCACATCCCTGTGGCAGAGGCCACTAGGGTGCCTTTTGGTGGGCTTGCCCTACCTGTGGTTCTGGAGACAACCCTTTTGCCCCTATAATTTGCAAGGCTCTTTTATCCTCTCCCCATGTATTTGTTCAGGCAGAACAAAGGATGGAGCAGCAGCTCCACCTTTGCTCTTTATTCTGCCTCCCCTGCCCCTGGCAAAATCTGATTTCCCAAAGCCGGCATGGTCAAGCAGTTCACATGAAATAATATTTCGTCTGGGGTGAGTGGGTGTGTAGGTTTACAGGGAAGGAGCAGAAGCTGAAAGTGTATGCCGTTTTCCAATAATCTGTAGCACTCCCGGTGCATAATAAATAAAAAATATCCCTTGAAACTGAATGTGCGGTGGGAAGAGATGTTTTACTGGCCATCTTCATGCCCTGCTCCCCTAGCAGCTTTAAAAGGTGTTCACCAACACTGTCTCTTTGCTGGTATAAGAGTTCAAGCAAAGGTCAGTCCAGAGGTACCTTTTCAAAACGTTCAAGAAGATGATGTTACTCTTCCTTCTGCTGCTTCTCTCTCTATGGGGCAGCACTAAAGTTCCCATTGCTTGCAGAGCATCCTCATCTCATCACCGCCCATTTATTTATTTATTACATTTACACCCCACCTTTTCACCCAAGGAACGCAAGGGGGCAAACGTAGTTCTTCTCCCAATTTTATGCTCACAACAACCCTGTGAGGTAGGTTAGGCTGAGGGTGAGTGACTGGCCCAAGGTCACCCAGTGAGCTTCATGGCTGAGTGGGGATTTGACCCCTGGTCTCCCACATCCTAGTCTGACACTCTTACCACTAGACCACTCACCCACAAAATTGTGTCCAGGTTGGCTTACAATGTATCAGATGAATAAGTATAACAACTCAAAGCTTGTTAGAAACAATTATAAATAATCACAATATCACTAAATGCAAGGAATAAAAATATCAAGCCATACAACATTGGGTAAAACAATGCAAATAAGTTAACTTAAGCACTTACCCTCAAGGGCATAGTATAAAGCGGTGCAAATAAGCTCATATAATTAAAGAACTAAAACCAAACAGACAAGTAAGTGATACCAATGGACTAAAACATCACCCATCACCCTGGTCCTGATGTTGCACTACAGATGGATTCAGAACAGCCCCCCTTCTTCATTATTCAGTTCCCTTCAATGCAGGAATCACAGTGAAAGAATCCCTGGTGGATGGTCATCCAATCTCTGCTTAAAAACCTCAAAAGACGGAGAGCCCACCACCTTCCAGCGGAGTCTGTTCCACTGTCAAACAGTTCTTACCACATAGAATCAGAGAATCAGAGAATCATAGAATCATAGAATCATAGAATCATAGAATCATAGAGTTGGAAGAGACCACAAGGGCCATCGAGTCCAACCCCCTGCCAAGCAGGAAACACCATCAGAGCACTCCTGAGATATGGTTGTCAAGCCTCTGCTTAAAGACCTCCAAAGAAGGAGACTCCACCACACTCCTTGGCAGCAAATTCCACTGTCGAACAGCTCTTACTGTCAGGAAGTTCTTCCTAATGTTTAGGTGGAATCTTCTTTCTTGTAGTTTGGATCCATTGCTCCGTGTCCGCT